TCCGGGGCAGGCGGCAGGCGGGAATCGAACTCATGCGGAAGTGGCTTCAGATTCTCAGTGCTGTGCTTTAACCCGCTGCGCAACCAGGGAGGGCCATAAGCAAGTAATTTTAAAGCTGCTATATAAAGGAGTTGCACAAAGTTAGAGGCAGGGAGGGGCAGCAGGAAAGAAGGTTCCTGGAGAGAAAGTAATGTTTCCCTTAACTACTAAGGGAAAAGTAAGAGTTTGCTAGGAGATAGAGAGGGATGGGAGAGATAAAGCATCCCAGATGGAAGGAATAATGGATGTGAAAACACAGAAGCAGGAATCTATATTGTTCTTCAGGTAACTGGATTTGACCTAGCTGCAGTTTAGGGAGGGAATACGGGGAGTGACTGTGGAGATGTAGGCAAGAGCACATCACGGACCCCCTCCAGGCAACAATGTTAAAAACTTCAAAAACTGGGCCAGTTTTTCTTAAGGCCATTAGAAGAATATAGCTGTCCCCAGAATAACTCAAAAGATATAGATCAAAAGACGTACATACAATGGAATATTGTCCAGCCTTACAAAGGAAGGAAATTCTGACATGGTTCATTGTGGATGAACCTTGAAAACATTATTCTCAGTGAAATGTCCAACAAAAAATATTGTATGATTTCACTTATCTAACATACCTAACATAGTTAACTTCATAGAGACAAAGTAGAATACTGGTTGCTAGCAAGTAGGGAGTAGGGAAAGATAGGGTGTTATGGTATGTGTTCCTATGAGCTGGCTAAAAGCTGCCCATTTATGGACAACTATAACCTATTTGTTGCCTACAAATCAGAGCAGAAAATTCCTTGACTACCTACTATCATGATCAGGCCTGAGGACACCTAGGCTGCTGTTGACCTGATTACATGACTATCTCCATGGTGGTTTTGGGATAACTCTGAATGTGATAAAATCAAATACTTTGCTGATGCAAATGGCTCTTGACTATGGCCACAATGTCCCCTTCCAACACCTTATCAAACTCTCCCATTCCTATCTCACCCTCCGGGACTTCATTCCTCATAGGAACAGCTTTTACTAGCTTGTATGCTTTCAATAAATGGCACAAGAACTTCTGCTCAAGTAGCAGTCTTGCCTTGCAAAACTGCTCCACATCTGCTGTGTCCCTCATTGTGTTCCTGCTACAAAGCAGCAACAAAGTTCCTGCCACATTATGGTTTATTGGTAACAGTTTGAGACAAAAAGATAGTAGTGATAAGAATTGCACAATGTGAACGTACTTAATGGCACAGAATTGTACCCTAATAGGGTTAAACGGTTTTTAGATGAAAAACATTAAATAATAAATTTTACATTATATTTTACCAGTTTAAACATATGGGGAAATTTTTAAAATACTCAATTTTTTTGTATGAAAATTAAATGTCATCCCTTTGCTTAAAGCTGGTCCTAACTTGTGTTTGGCATATACTAATGGCTATAATTTACTAAAAACTAGTTTTGTGTCAGCTTTCCATCCTAAAATGAGATTCAGGCTCAGAGAAAAGCACACAGGAGTGGGAGGCATTTCTAAGAATTCTAGAATTTCTAGAATTCTAGAACTCAAATTCCAACACCTTGCTCTTGCATCAACTCCCAATCATTTGGTTATCTTACCACTTTTTTGGACATGTGGACATTTATCTTAAATAATTCACCCTTGAACTGCAAAGCACTATTTGGTGTTTTCTGAGTTTATAAAACTCGGAAAAGGCAGAATGAAATGTTTGCTGGGTGTTTACTGCTAACCTGCATCTGACATCCTTCAAGGGTTCTGACCCTCTGCAAAAGCTCAAAAGAGCATGCAAAATGAGTCTAGATGCACGCACCGTGCTAACAACCCAAACCAGCCACCTGCTACCATGTGGCGCGGCCCGCTCCCAGGTTGTGGTAGTTACCGGGAGAATGCGGCTTAACTTAGCCCGTGCGGCCGCTCAGCTTTCCTTACCTCGGGACCAAGCCGCCTACACCCCGCAAACAGGCGCGCAGGCGCACTGTGCCGCGTAGCTCCACTGCGGTGCTGCCGCTCGGGGCGTCCCCCCGAGTGGCTCCCCCCTTCGCCCCAGAGTCGGTGTCCCTGCTCCCTTTCCGAGGCCCCTTCGACCGAGCCCAGGCCCCGCCAGGCGCGGCCCCCTCGAACCCTCTGACCCCAAGTTGCACAATGCCCGAACAAAGTCCCCAGGGGTGTGAACCCCGGCGTCCCGGCCCCTGGGCGGGGACGGCCGGCAGCCGTGCGGGGATCCGACGCGGCGAGGGCACAATCGGCCCAACCTGCCGACTCCAGCACCACAAGTCTCCGGGGAGCTGCAGCGGCTTTAGGCCCCCACACCGCTCCCCTCATAGGCCGCCGCCGCCGCCGCCGCCTCAGCTATGGCGGAAGTTCATAGACGTCAGCATGCCCGGGTTAAAGGAGAAGCCCCCGCGAAATCCTCCACACACAGACATGAGGAAGAGCTGGGGATGGCGTCGGCCGAAACGCTGACCGTGTTCCTGAAGCTGCTGGCCGCCGGGTTTTACGGCGTGAGCTCTTTCCTGATCGTGGTGGTCAACAAGAGCGTGCTCACCAATTACAGGTAGGGCCGAGGCGGCTGCGACCGCGGCCTTGCACAGGAGCAGGCGACAGCGGCGCGCCCGTCTCCCTGGACTTCGGCTGCCAAAGTTGAAGCTGAACAAAGTTGGGCGGGAGCTGGGGAGGGCGGGTGGCTGACGCGCGGGCCTCTGGCTGGGATCCGCTCCCCGCGCGGAGCTCGGGCGCCCAACCTGCGCCGGGTGCCGCGTGGGGAAGGCGCCTGCCGCGGTCGCGGTGCAGCAGGGGAGCGAAGTTGTTTCTGGACTTTTTGGCCCCAGGGCGTGCGGAGATGGGGAGGGATGCCCGCTCTCCGCTGCAGCTCGCGCTGGGATCCGGGATTTGGAGTTCAGGGTTTCGCTGTCAGCCTCTCGCTGTCAGCCTCTGGGGACGTGCGCATCCTCACGCCCGTTAACGGGATTCAGATGCAATCACTGGAACCCCAAGGCTGAAGCATTTTGTTTGCAAGGTGTGAAACCGTTGGGGAGACCTATGTCTTTACTTCCGCGAAAAACCGGTTGCAGGCAACCGACTGAAATTGAAGAATTGGACTAGATGGGACAAGTGGCCGCCGGAGGCTACAGATTCAGCAATGTTACCTGACAACTATAGCTGGGAGTTTTCTCACCGGTTTGCTTTGGAGAAGGGGCGGCCGGTGGGGTGTATTGTATCCCAGTGCATTTTAAGGTTGCAGATCTGCACATTTAATTCAGAGCAACCACTGGGTTTTTCTGACTCTTTTTTTTCTTTACCGTTTCTGTAGATTTCCCTCCTCACTATGTGTTGGACTTGGCCAGGTCAGTTGGAATCTTCAGCTTTACGGGGTTTATGTCGTTAGAACTTCTCTGTGTGTCTTTATATGTAGAACAGTGAATCTGTGTTCTCTCTTCACAGATGGTGGCCACAGTGGCAGTTCTCTGGGTGGGAAAAGCGCTCAGAGTAGTCAAGTTTCCTGACCTTGACAGAAATGTACCTCGAAAGGTAAAACAGCAAAACAGAAACACTTTATATTCTGAAAATAAGTCACTTGTGTTTTTTTTTATTAGTGCCTTGCATATTTAAAAATTGTAGCCTTAAAATCATAGAGGGTATATAAAAGTGAAAAATAATTGTAGTGATGTTAAAAAAAAACCCCACAATTTCTTTGAAATGAAGGAAATAAAACTCTAGAATATCTTTTCCTTCATGAACACTTGTTGGGAGTCCAAAGTTTTGCATTTTCCAGATTCATCTAATCTAGTCATGTATTCTGCATTCATTATTCTTTGGGCTTATTTTCTTACTATTTTTGCTTCTGTTTGACAATACTTGAGGATAAATTGCCCTTTTTCTGCTGACATGAGTCATTATTGTTATCATATTTAAAACAAATGATAGTTTTCTCTTTGTGGATTGATCAGATACATGTTTTTGTTTCTTTTCCCCCTTCATTTCTCCCTCTCTTTCTTTTCCTTACTAGTGCTGTTTATCCAGGAATAATATTTGGGTGACTCATGGGTCCAAAATTGTATATGAGAACTAATCTTATGCTGTGAGTGGAATGAATTTGATCATATAAACAAAACTGTTTCTGTTTGAAAGGACCTTGTTTTAGCTATCTTTATTATTGAGTTTTGTTATCCCTTTTTAAATTTTCTAGACGTTTCCACTACCTCTACTATATTTTGGGAACCAAATCACGGGACTGTTCAGCACAAAGAAACTGAAGTATGGATAACTTTATTTTACTAGTGAGGTTAATATAATGTATTCTTAAAATTGTATGTGACTGGCAAGTATTTAACACTTTTTGATTATAGAAATAGTGTTTTGATTCTGGAAATAGTGAAAGGGCCAGTAAAGTTCTGTTAGTAGATAATGGAGATTATATAGTAATGAAGATTACACTTTTTAAGTTTGAAGAGGGTTTTTTGTTTTTACTCTTCCCTTTGATGATACAGGCTTAGACAGTTTTAAAATGCTTTCATTGGAAGCATTTTCACTAGTTTTCTCAATGAGTGGTAAGGAATATATGCTAGACTTCTAGGATATCAGTTCTTTAATACCATTTATAAATATCATGCTTTAGATAAATTCTACAAATAAATCACAGAAGGATATGAAGACTTTCTTTTTCTTTTAATTGAGGTGGTTAAAATAACATTTAATTGGAACTTTGATACAAATATAATTGACATTTTACCCATGGTAGTATAACTTTAGAAGCAGCATAGAAAGAAATACTAGCTCTCTACTCCATGACAACACAGGCTTATTATACTTTAACCTCCCAGTTTGTGACTTCTCTTAAGGAGTGTTGTATGTACTGGGTGTATGTAATACTAAAGCTATTTATAGGGACACCATTTAACAAAAACCCATAGCTTCATTACTCCCAAAGTGAGCTAAACTGGCATAATGGATGATTTGTAAAACAGGATGGGGAAACCTCTAAGGACAAGAGACAAAGGATTTTTGTATTTCCTTTTTAGAACTGGATACCTGACAGAATGAGCATGATGGTATCTCTGGGAAAGGTTCTATGGAAGTCAAATTTATCACGAGTGGGGTGTCCTTTTCCATCTCATTAGCCGTTTGGAAAGAAATGCAGACCTGCTACAAAGCACTGCTTGTATAGTTTGCTCTTTTTCATCCATTGTCATCCCTCCATTCATTCACATTCTATCTTTGATTGTCAACCTAAGTATTAGACTCTTGAGTGAGTTGAGATATATTTCGAAATAGCTATATTACAAGAGGTTGTATGTTTGACCAGTGTAAGCCAATATTCTGGTAGTTTAGAGGAAGACAAAATTACTTCCCCAAGATGGCAATCAGGGATGGTTTCATGGCCCAAGATTTTCAGGTATCATTTGAAGGTTAAAGAGAGAGAGTAAAGTTCAGTCCATTGAAGGAAAGAGAAAAGTTGTTTCTGTTAAAGAGCAAGAGTCAGTCTTCAGGGTATTTATGTAAGAAATGGCAAAATTAAAAAGTGAATATTACTAGTTTTTGGTAACATATATAGAATTTCTACCAATTTATAGTTATTTTGGCATTTATAATTTTTCATAGTTTTAAAATAGCAACCCTTTCAGGCTTTCAAATAAAAGTTATTTCTAGAGGGAAATAAAAGCTTATTTAATCAGATCAGTCAGCATGGAAATTACATAACAGGAATGGAGAGATTGACACTATTTTAAAATAACAAATTCGGGAATCTTATTTTAAACTATACTGATTACCAGATGGAAAAGTGGGGGAGAGAGGAGTACATAAAGTCATGGAACAGAATAGGACATTAACCCTGGAGTTTTGATGGAGAGTGAGTGAAGCAGTATGCACATGTGGAGGTGTAAAATACCCCCCCTTCAAATGACACAATAATGTAAAAGACTGACAAATTAATAGAATTGGGGGTGGGAGAGAATCTCTCTTTAAAAAGCTGTTTTTTTTTTTTAACTTCATTTCAGCTAATTTAATTTTTTTTTTTTTTTTTTTTTTTTTTTTTGCAGCTTGCCAATGTTTACAGTTCTGAGAAGGTTCTCCATCCTGTTTACAATGTTTGCTGAAGGAGTTTTACTCAAGTGAGTTAAATTTTCTAATATATCCAGGCTTTAACATGTTATAATTACCTTGAAAAGATACCTAACACATGTGAGATATAAAATTATTTGTCTTGTTTCGACCTTCTTTTAAGATGTTTAAACAACCTTTTGCTTTAGCTTCAGGAATTTATAGTTTCTGGGGACAGTGGATGTGAAGTTGTGAATTGGAATTGGGGATCTGAACATTTTTGAAGAACTATGCTTTCAAGAATTTCTATGCCAACTTCTGCCACTTGGTGATTATTGGTATATGTTTTAAGTATTGTTCATATGGTCACTACTTTTACTACAATTGTGTGACCTTTTTCTACTTAAAGAATTTCTGACTTGTGAAAATTCAAATTCACTAATAATAAAAAATGAAAAGTATATAATTATTTACATAAGAATTTAAGTTTTGCGTCATCAAAGGAGTTCTTTTTAACATCCAGCCCCTTGGAAACATTTAATATATGTTCATTTATAGTTTTCAAAAATAAAAATTATATATATATTAAAAATATTATATACATATAGACGATATGTCATATTTTTTGACCTATGGTATAAAGTAAGTCCTTGTAAATAACTAAAGCCAAATGTTTATATTTTTAAATTATTTTATTTTATAGGAAAACTTTTTCTTGGGGTATTAAGATGACTGTATTTGCAATGATTATTGGAGCCTTTGTAGCTGCCAGGTAAGATATGGGCCTATATAAAGTCTATGAGTACACAATGGAAAGTACCAACACTTGTTGATAATGATAAGATTATTTTTAAAGGCTAAGAATCATGTCTTTGTAAAACATCCAATTTTACTCTCAAAAGTTAAACCTTTATGACTGAATAAAATCAAGCTTGACAAAATCATATTGTGGAGTTTTTTGAAGAACTGTGCTTTCAAGAATTCCTTTTTTACATTATTCTTAAGTTTTATTTTTAAAATGCACAGGGAAAAGGTATACCCAAAGAATCAGAAAAGTGAAATAATGGCTGAAAGCTACCTACAGCATTTTACTTAGCCAATGCTCATGCCACCAATTCTGTTTAACATGTATTTTCCTTCTGGGAGTTCCAGGTACTACTTCTTGATTGGTCAAATTTGTATGATTTAGAGTTATAAAGCTATTTTTATTTATGAGTACATACTGACACCATTAGCACTTTGTACATATTATTTCTCTGTCCTTCATAAAAACTCTGTGAGCTAGGGGTATAATTTTCCTGTGTTACAGTTGAGGTAACTAAAATCTAAGTTTGGTAACTTATTCAAGGTTACACAGCCAGTAGGTGACAGAATTTGAATCTCTGCCTGACAGCAGAGCCTGTGTACTTTTATAAACCATGTGGTATTCCTTTACTTTGCATGCTGCTGGAAAAAAAAGTCTCAGAAGAGGCAAATTAGAATGTATTATTTGTCCTGTGTATATTAAATAATAGAATTGCTTTATTTGGCCCCACATAAGCTATATCATAAAGCTCTTTTCCATTATTCTTAACTTTTATTTTTTAAATGCACAAGGAAAAGGTATAACCAAAGCTATCTACAGCATTTTACTCAGCCAATGCTTATGCCGCCAATTCTGTTTAACCTATATTTTCCTTCTGGGAGTTCAGGTACTACTTCTTGATTTAGCTCATTTACCTTCATGTTATCCTCACTGTATAGGCAGAGGGGAAAATAAGTTAAATTTTATTTTACTAAATCTCCATGTGAAATTTTACTCTTAAAAAAAGGAATATGGAGTCATTGGTTACTAGAATTTGGTTTTATAACTGATTGCATTTCCCTCTAGTTTTATATCGCCTACTTGGAAAAAGTTTGATTTTTTTCCTTCCTACCACTGAGACCCCTGACTCTCCTTTTAGAGGTGCCTGCTAGTCTTTGAAAAATTTTCTTGAAGCTGGTGAAACCCAAAATTGAAACAAATAACAGGGTTCCTCAAAGTTTACTCTGGCCTGCAAAAAAAATCTCAGAGGAGGATTGCTACCTAGTCCAGCCCTGTCTAATTGGAATGTTTTATGCTGAAATAAGATTGAGGATGAGAATCTGAAATTAGAGGACTGTCAGGCTGCTCATAAGAGGGTGTATGCCTTAGGCTGGTCCTACCTAAAATTGTGAAACAGCATGGAGCACATCAGAAGTCCAATTCACATAGTGGTTAAGCCATAAATATATGCTATCTTTGTAAAATCACAGAATGTGGGACCACTATTTTAGATAAAGTGATGAAATATGTTGAAGGCATATGTTTACTAGATTTTTTTACCTATTCTGTTCAGTTCACTAAGTTATTATTTTGCATCTAGGGCTGTACAATATACTCAAAAACTTCAGTTTCCCTAATTCTGCTAGTTGCACCTTACAGGCTAATTACACAATTAAGTATTTGAATTCTTACCCTGTGTCTAGACACTGTTGTTTATCTCAGTTAGAACTTACTATGATCCATATACCATAAATTCCATCCAGTGGCCCAAACTCCGGTGTAATACAGTCTTTTTGTGTAAACCTTTGGAAAATGACAGTGTTACAATGTTATCTTTTTTGGTTTTCTTATCTGTGCAATTGAGCTCTCATGCCTTCTGCCTGCTTCAGATGTAGTGAAATGTCGTTGGTTGTTTCCTGCTTTTTGACTTTGAATAAGGAGTAGTGTACTACTAACAGACATAACTGATCATTGCTAATGATTGTGTTAAAGTTAACTCTGCTAATTAAACTAACTTATTTCTGAAGACTCCCTGATAAAGCATGGAGCCACAGACTCACCAAGAATCAAGAAGTTCTAGTAAATAATAAAATGTCTGATGTTCATTTATCTAGATAAGAATATGTTCCTGTATTGTAATTCAGGTCTTTTTTAAATTAAATGTATATTCTTTAAACGTAAGTTATTTTTTAATTTTATTCTTATGTTTTACAGCTCTGACTTGGCCTTTGATCTGGAAGGATATGTTTTTATTCTGATAAATGATGTCCTGACAGCAGCAAATGGTGCATACGTAAAACAAAAATTAGATTCAAAAGTAGGTAGCAATCTAAAGCTTTCTTAATAGGTTTTTGCCAGTGTTGTGAATGATAATGTCAATTCATCAGGGAAAAGTCAGGGAGTAAAGAAAAACACTGAAGAGTGATAGGAAAGATATAAGGGATCTCTGACGGTAAAATGCCTATATTTTACCTTCTCATTTTACCTTGCTCACGTATGAACCTTTATTTTTTAAATCGTTAATTAATTGTTAGTTGACAGATTTTATTGTTGGCTTTTCTTGCAAGGATTGGGTGAATATTAACGGTGAGTAGGATAGAGAAAGCCAGGTGTTGATTACAGAAAAGTGTCGTAAGTATTCATGACTATGTTCTAGAGAAGTTGGTGAGGAATATGGACAAAAGAGAGAGATTTGGAAGCCTTGAGCAGATCTGAGGAGAAATGAGGAAATGAGTGTTGCCATGGTCTGCAGAACATGGATGGACTTTGGGTGTTTGTCCTACAATAATTTTAGGGTACATTAGAATCTCTCTTGGGGTAACACTGAGTTCCTTGGCCTACCTCTCAAATGTGAACTACATATACCCAGTTCTTTTCCTTCAACTTTCAGCCTGCACACTTGGCTTTTGAAATATTTTTGTTTGTTGCTATATATTTGGAGTATAGAGACCCTAAATTTTATTTTTAAATAGTCAAACAGTCAGAAAGTTGAATATTTGAGTCACATTGCTCTTCCTGCATTGTAGTATGATATTATATTTCTACAAAACTACCTAACTGTAAGAAGCAGCTGTGGAAGTCAACTTTATATAGTAGAGTTGTTGAAGAAATTATCCTTTTTATCATACTGTTTCCTATATAATAGATGATTTTTCTAAGCTGGTACATTTTTATCTCATAATTCAATCTGGTAACTGACCATTACTTTAGCACTTGTTTTCCAACTGATGTTTTCTCCTCAGTCATATGACTTTATCTGCTTAGTTTTAAGGCTGATTAGTTATATGTACAATTTTCTTTTTTTGGAATACAGATCATACAGATGCCCCATCTATTTCATAGTAGTATTAATAGCAGATTTATATTATCTTTGCAGGGACTTTACTGTCTCTAGAAAAGAACCATCAAATGCATGGCCATTCCAGTAACTTTCATTATTCCCAGAAAAAGTTTATTTTGTATATCCTTGAAAAAGTAGGGAAATCGTAAGCAAACCCCATCAAAGGGCCTCATACTTCTATGTGTGGGGCTGAACAAAATGAGCTTACTTTCTACTTATGGTGTGTGTCATAATCTAGTCAGTTTTAGATATTTGTTTCTAGTTTTACAAAGCTGTTTTTGAGAAGGCAGTTTGACTTCGGTGCTCTTTCCACTAACATATTTTAGGCAGATATCACATTTCTATTTTCGCTACTCCTTTACTTTTCTTCATACCCTCAAACTCTGGCCTACTTTTTTAGGTGACTCTGTTTCCTGCTGAATGTCCTGGAAGTGTGGAATCAAAGGTGTACCCATAGTGCTCAGAGATTCTCTGTTTTTTAAACTGTGTGGTGGTATTTGTTGCTCAGCAATATCGAGGGCACAGCTATTCACACTTTGTTTTGGGAGTTAAGAGATAGTAATTTAGTCTTCATTGTCCTTTATAGACACATTTTCAGTGATAGGTCTCTGGGAAGTTATGTTCCATTTGTGTTGGTCTAGGTGTGAGTCTTTGTGTCTGGTTCTGACCACCCATTTCTTGTAAATAGCACTTGTTACGGTTCTGAATACCTCCAGACCAACTTGATGACGTTTCTTTCAATTATGGAAAAAGAAGGAACATGTTGCTATAGAGATCTCTGTATATGGTCAAAATAACCATTTCCCTACTTGCTGCTCAAGAAATTTATTTCAAATAAGTTTAAAATCTTGCAAGTCAAATCAAGCCCCCACCTTTTTTCTTTTTTCGAAAGCTTAGGTTATTCTTAATATTTGCAAGACTTATTACTTAATTTGCTATGCATGCTGTGGGAGAGGGGTGTGTGTATAAAATGAGGGTGATACTATGTATAGGGTTATGTGTATCAGTCTGCTAGGCCCAAATTAAACATCTATTGATTTCACTGTCCTAGGAGCTGGGAAAATATGGTCTGCTCTATTACAATGCACTGTTCATGATTCTGCCCACCCTGGCCATTGCATTTTTCACAGGAGATGCACAAAAGGTAAGGGGCTTTATAATTATGGTTTAATGGGACATGTTTTTGAATTGTGTTATTTTCTGTGGATGAAAGATAGACTTTTGCATTGTTAAAAACAAATATGCTTATTAAGTGACAAAACACCGAGAATTTGCTCTAGCTCGCTACTGTTATGCTAACTTTTTTTCTTATTAGAAGTAGTGGATATTAAAGTGGCTCAAAATATTCTGGCTGTCAACATAAAAATAATGCATGCAGACTAGTGTCCTTTGTGTGTCAGAAAGGAAAATCTACATTTTTACTGAACTAAAAAATAGGGATAGTAGCAAACTGTCCTTGAGAAACAAAAACTCTAAATTAGTAAAATTCTTCAAATCTAAGCAAAAATGCTAGGTATCTCCAGAAGCTCCATTTTTTTGGTGTGTGATTGTCATCCTGGCCTCAATCTCAAACTGTTCTTCCCTTCTCTCTCCCAGGAGCTATTTAGCACTGTGTGGTGACTCAGCCATATAAATAGCAATTAATATAATAATTTACTTGTTTTCTGCAAATGTTTAGCTAAGTAAATCCAAAATAGAGTAGCAAAATATATTCAGAGAAGAATTTTTATCTAAAGTCTGTATTCATTGGAGAAAATTTTGTTAGAATTCACAAAATTTGCAAGCTAAACGCAAATGTGGAAATTTCCAGACCATGATCTCGTCTAATGATTCCCCTCATTAGTTGTCTCTTCAGAATAAATGTGCTGGGATTCACTCTAATGACAGTGACAGTTTCTACACATCAGTCTAAATGTAAACTTAAGGTATAACATTATTGATACATTTATACCGGAATATGATTCCTATTATAGCATTAGCTAACACCTCTATCAGGTCACATAATTATTATTATTATTTTTTTTAGTGGTAGAAACTTTTAATAGTTCTAGTTTTTTAACAAATTCAATATTTATAATACAATTTTCTTTATAACTGTAGAGAAAATAAATGTTTTTTCTCATATCTACAACATTTAGAGAATTGACTAGTTTACTGGACCATGAAAATTTGCCTTAATAACATTTTTTAAAAATTGAGAGAACATGGATTTATAGCACATAGTTATAAATAAATCTTCAGGCCAGTGTGTACATGAGAAAGTTGGAAGAACTAATGTGGTTAGGTATTATACAGTAGCTATTTGAAAAAGCTAAAAAATGAAACAATATTTCTTTATTTTAGGTTGATAATCATTTAACTAGAAGTTACCTGTGGAATTGCAAAACTCCCCCTACCCCCCAGTGAAAGTGCCAGGAAGGATAATGAAAGGTCTATTTTGGAACAGTAATTTTAATGGCAGAGTTTACTTTAAATACTTTCAAGTTAGGGTGATAAACTAATTGTGGAAGCTGAAGTAATTGCTTTTTAATCAATTCCCATAAGTATTTTGGGAATAAATATAAATGTTTGCCCATCCTCACTCTTAATTATTCATTAATATGGTTCTTATAGTTTTACTGGGAGTATAGATAGATACACTGACTGGTGGACTTAAAATCACTGCTCTTTTTCTTCTTAATATGTTCTCCTTCTTAACATCTTCCATTAGTTATTTAGTTATTAAGGTGAATTAGACAGTATTTTTTTTTCTTTGATGACCCATTCAGTATTCTTGGGGAACATACCCCAGTTGACATAAGAGCAGTGAATTTATAGGTTCTATGGGAGAAATGTTTTGGGGGGTATAAAATGGAAGTGGATCATTTTTGTTTTCTTGTCTCATAAAGCTTTCCTTACGACAAAATTAAAATGTAATTGATTTGAATATACAGTGCTATTTTAGTAGGTTATGAATTAAACTAATTTGAAACTTAGGAAGTGGGACTTCTAAATTGAACTGTTCCTTGTGTTACTATGAGATAAGTCCCTATAATTTCCTTTTTAATTCCATTCAAGTAAGTATTTCTGAGCATCTTCCTTGGGCTAAGAAAGCCCTGTGCTTTGGGAATATATGAGAATTATGAGATAGTCCTGGTGACACAAGTAGGACTTTTGACATGCTACAGAGATTGTATAAGCTTGCTCTAGCATTGAAGTATATAACCACTAGTCAGTAATATAAGATTAGGGAGAAACTGGTCTGTGTTAAATATCAAGATTAGCATTTTAAAGAAGTTAGATCTTGGTTTTCTTATTCTCCAAGTGCAGCAAGTAATGCTCATGTTTCTGTGGGTGGGTGTTAGAGATATAACTTAGAGAATTGGTAGAGTGGTTTGCTTTTGTTACGAAGCACTGAAGGACTGGAGGAAGTCTTGATGCCTTAAGTTGTCCAGGAGACTCATAGTATTCTACAACAATGGGTTACAGATTATTTCTTCCACTAGAATGTTCAGTTTTATAGTAACAGGCTGTAAGTGCCTTAAGTGCTCACAAAATGGGTTCACATTACAGAGTGGCATGTGTGACAGGATTTCAGGTAGGAGTGTTCTAGTAAGTTAGGTTCATTTTCAGTGTGTATCTTTTAGATTTTCTTTGTGTGTGTGCTGCACATGTGTGTCTATGAACAAACATGTGCCTCATGTTTGTCTTAATGACACATTTTTAAAATGTGACAGAATTTAACTAAAGCTGTTTCCTGATTACTAATTTGAAATAAGTGAACCTTCTTCTGGCCTTTACTAGTATTTATAGGGTATGATGCCATGTTCCTGAAATGTTTACAGATAAACCATTTTCTGTCATCTTCATTGTATATCTGAGTATGCTGCTATCTGATTTATAGATGTTAAAGGTATTGTTACAGTTTTATATGGCAGAGTTTAGAGTTAGAACCAGTCTGTTTGACTGCAGGTAGATGCCTTCCTTGCTGTTTGCTTAACTGCATCTATCTTGTAAAGCCATTTGTTACCTCCCTGGCTTGTTTTTCTCTGTTTGGATCTTTCATCCTGGGATTTCTACAGATCTAGTTAAGTGTGAGGATGCCTCAGAGTAGTATTAAAAGTGAAATCCTGTTATTTGGCCTTTTTGTTACCCAGTATAGGACATGACCCTGCTTTAAAGGAACTTAGAGTCTAGTAGGGTGTGATCAATAAAGTATAAATTATCTGATAGCTAAGAAGAGGAATAAAGTAAAGAGAGTGATCCAGAAAGTACTATTTGAATAAGATTGGTTAAAATTTTTTTTGTAGTTTCATTTGAGCAGATACTGCACTGAATGGACTGAGACTCATTTGTGTGACATTTTGTAAAGAGTAATCTAGGTTGAGGGAAGAACAACTTCTAAGTATTGAGGTGGCAGTGCTTACCTTGATCATAAGGAGCATTTCCTGACTAGCTAAATGCCAGCAAGAGTAAAGAAAAACAAAATGTTCATTCCAGATGGAACTAATAGCATAAACATCGGAAAATCTGGGAAGACCAGATTCCAGTTTGGCTAAAAGGTGGAAGTCAAAGACTTTGGACATCTTAGAGGAGATGATAAGAAACACTTGTTCAAACCTCATTTCACAGATGAGGAATTCAGAGGGCTCAGGCTCAGAACCCAGCTTTCCTCTATGAGTCATGCTTTCACTCTTCTCACCATGTCTTGCCCTACTTCTTCTAAGTTGGGGCTAATGCTAAACTTAGGAATTTGAAATTTACTGTGATAAACCACTCAGTTTGTGGCATTAGTAATTTGGTCAAGAAAATTTGAGGACAGAATGCAGAAGACCAGAAATCTCCAAATCTGTTCCTGACTTGTTTGAGTTTAGACATATCCTTTCTGCTCTCATGTCCTACTTGTCATGTGAAAGTTGAGTAGATTGGGTCACTGAGTTGCTAGGTTCTCTTCCTGAGGCTAACACAGTTTCTGAAGGTATAAGACATGCCAGTATGGAGACTACACTGCTCTTCTGATAGCTGCTACCTCGGTTTGATAACCAGTGCTGAGAAGCTCCGCTCATCTCATGAACTCCTGGCCTTCCAGACACAGGACCATTTTGTATGGGTGCTCTCTCTGTATTGGCTGAAAAGCTATCAAATATAAATTGCTAAACAAACAAACAAAAAACAAAAAGCATGGTATAAACCATAACAGTTTGTGTAGTATGCTGTCTTTTAGTAAAATTAAAAGGGACAGGTAATTCAGTTCACCCTTGAAGAACAGGGGTTTGTTTGACTATGTAAGTTCACCTATACCTGGATTTTTTTTTCTACCGGCTGGTTCTACTTTCTCAAATTCAGCTATCCGTGGATATCCAGTTGACTTAATACAAGAATGCAGAACCCATGTGTACACAGGACCAACTCTAAGTTATAAGTGGATTTTCGCTTGTGCATTTGTCAGGAGGCCAGTGCCACTAACCACTGCCTTGTTCAAGGGTCAGTTATATTAAATGAAACTATTAAAAGAAAAAGCAAAATGTAAAGTAGTGAATTGGGTATGCTACCTTTTAAGCAAACTGACAAGGAAAAAAATAATGTCCGAATATATATATTTAGTTCACTAACGTATGTGTATGTTGTATGCATGTGTGTGGGGGAGGGAGAGAAAGCAGAGTAAATACAAGTAGGAATGGGAGGGAAATTTTCTGTGATTGATTTTTTAAAATATTTTTTGATTATAATATCATGTGAATGTATTTTAAATTACATTTTAGACACTTCATCCAAGATGCAGTTTGAACAGAATCAGGACCAAATTTTTTTTCTCAAAATTCCACTGCTGTTAATAAATAAAGGAGGTAGAACTTCTCTCTGATAGGATAAGAATCAGGAAGTCTCTAAAACGTAAACTTCCAAGAAAGGCAAGAGTCCTATGGAGTAGTTAGGAATGGCACATCTTTTTTTTTTTTTTTATTACAAAGTTTATTTTTATATCATTTTGCACATTTTTTTCCCCATCTCGATTGTAATCCCTGCGGGTTTCCCATCACCAAATCACCCGAATGGCACATCTTTTAAGGAAAAAAAAAAAAAGACCCAGTTGAACAGCTTATCCCAGTGAGAAATCAAATTGTCTATGTATGTGATTTTTTTTAAAGGTTATTCAAAGTTCTTGAA